CAACATTGCCTTTAATGCATTGTTAATTTTTGTACAGCATAAGATTTTCTTTTTTTCACCCTAATTTACTGTTGGGGCTGTTTTTGCCCCGTTGACTTACATTATAACCACTTTTTATTACAAAACCAAGACACAATATAATCATGCAATCATTGTTTCCCTGTTGGGAAGAGGTAAAATTTGTCATTCTTACTGTTGATCATCTTTTGGCACTTTAGTCTGGCCTGTGCAAAAAAAAAAAAAATAAATAAAAAATAAAAAAATAAGCGCTGTTACTGGATTGTATATGAAATGTCATATGGAGTCTTTGCAAGTGTCCACCACAACAGATTCACGGTTCTTCATCTCTCCTGTGCATCACTTACCTACATGTTACCCTCTTCATTCCTGAACTGCTGGTGTCTGTTGATGTAGCCAGGTAAATGTCACACCTCCAGGCATTTGTGTATCAACATCAGAAGTCTCCTAAATGTTTAGTACACATTTGTCTTTTTTTTTTTTTTTGGCATGTACTGCCAAAAGCTGCATTTGATGCATTTTTCCAAAAGTTTAATTATTTAGTGGATGTTTTTATCTCTAACATTTCAAAAAGGGTAATACATTTTCCCAGAGTGTATCATTAAAAATAAAAAATAAATAAAAAATCAAAGCATTTTCCCAAAATATGTGTCAAATAAGATTTGTCACTAGAAATCATTCTGCTAGCTGAAACACAGAAAAAGTTATGGCCAAATTAAGACTCAAAATTAACCCAGAATGGTTGAAAACATCCCCAACAGCACACAAGGAATAAAAGAAAAGAGTTTTTAAAATGAATGAGTTCTGTCATTCATAACCTTAGTACACTGAGTTTGAAGGCATCACGATATGCTATTTTACTGCTCAAATCAGACCAGACATCTGTCTTTTTCTCTTTATCAGGGAAAAAGCTCTACCTGTAGGAAATAATGAAGTGTTAAAACTACAGTGGATTACAGCCTGGAGGCGAAGAAAAATAATGATTCATGTCGTTACGAAAATGACTTCAGACTATCTTGAGAATCAGAAGAGGGAAAATGCATGAATGATTCTTACTGTTCACTGCATGACAGATTAGCATTTTAGTGGTTGTCATAATATAGACAATACATTGTGTTAGACTTGGAAAATGATTTACCTACATAATCAGCCGCTACAGTGCTGGGGTACCAGTGGATGTGGCATTTTAAAAGACAGAATTTGAAGACATTGTTTTATTGCTATGCTTGGAATGAGATGGAATGAAACCCATTGCAGAAGATTCAAAAACCCTATTTAACTCTATTAAATACTGTATATATATTAATTCTTTCCCGGAAAGAGGACTTTTTAAAAAAACATATTTCTAAAAATAATCGTTTTAATAACTCATTTCTAAAAACTGATTTTTTTTTGTCTTTGCCACAATGACCTTAAATTTGACTAGATATTTTTTCAAGATACTAGTTTTCAGCCTAAAACACACTTTAAAGGCTTAATCTTCAGTCGTGTTTGGGTCAAATCTGACCGTTTTACAACTTGAGCCACTCATAAATATTGTGTTTTACATACAACTGTCTCAAGGGCTTATGATATCCCCCACACTACGCACTTGAACAGATAAGAGTGATGATCACCTCCTTCATTGAATTTTGAGTGTTTTAATCAACCTCGTTACACCTGAGGGTTGATTAAAACCCATCCGAGTGTTGCCCTATATATATATATTTTTATATATATATATATATATATATATATATATATATATATATATATATATATATATATATATATATATATATATATAATTTATGCAAGAGTCTGTATTAACTACATTGAGGAGAATCGCTTTAAGGTGGGTTAAAAAACCCTACTTACAACAGTAACATCGTCGCAGCCACAGACCCGACGTGTGTGCGTTTGAGTAGGTGAGATAAGTGAGCACAGAGTGGACCGAACCAATCTAAGGAAGGGGAGGGGGAACTCAACTGTTTCTAAATGCATTTTAAATGTCTTTCTACTTATACTATTATATTAGCTATATATATATATAGCTAAACCCATAGGGTATATATATATATATATATATAAATAAATATATATATATATATATATATATATATATATATATATATATATATATATATATATATATATATATATATATAAATATATATATATATATATAGTTGCGGCAAAAATGCTGATTAAGGATGTAAATGTCCATGAATCTGCTGTATTAGCGATTAAAATTACTTATCTAGTTAACGTTAGCTTGTTGCTAACGCTAAAGCCGTTGAGTGCTTATGAAAATACTAATGTCAAAATGTTAATCAGGGTCAGTGAGATGTACAGTGTCAGGTAAGGGTGTTGTGCTTTATTGAAGCGATAATTATAATTCTTTGGGGGGTGAACAATTTTTTTTTTAATGTTTTCTGAGTTGTGGCTGTTTAACAGATTTCACAGGCTCACTGATTTACAATATGATTGGTTATTTTAACGTTTTAAAGTTAGTTATTATGAGTATGGAAAATGTATTTTCCTGCATTTATTCTGCTTCAGGAGTCAGACTGTTGACTGTAAACAACACAACAAACATTGCAATAAATAGTTTTGAAGAAAAATTTTCTGTCATTGTACCTGAGAAAAACTTTGAGAATAATCATAATGATGAAGTCTCCATGCTATACTAATAAACCATTTTAACTGCGGGGACATATCTTTATTAGTAAAATTTGGCTGTATTATTTGTGTCCCCTTCAAAAAAATGCTTGACATGAATTTTATATTTATTGTCCCCCCCCCCTACTGTTAAATCAGATTTACGCCCATGAACTATCTGGCACATGAACGCACATGAACTAACTGCCTGATGAAACAATGTATCATATCTTCGCACAGACTACAGGTGTCTTATGTGAACCAATCTGTGAGTATGTGTGTGTTCCTCTTTCTTTCTTTCTTTCTTTCTTTCTTTCTTTCTTTCTTTCTTTCTTTCTTTCTTTCTTTCTTTCTTTCTTTCTTTCTTTCTTTCTTTCTTTCTTTCTTTCAGACAATCTCCATTCAGCCAATCTCTGGGTCTAGCTTAGCTTAGCATGAATTATTTTATTGGTTTAGACCATTAGCATCTCGCTCGAAAATGACCAAAGTATAACTAGTGCTAGTTCTGTGTCCATACTTACTGTCTAAACCCTCAGTCACTTTTCTCTCCATTAGTATACTAATATGGTCCAATAGAAGGACTGAATGACAATTCGAGCACTCAGTACACAAAAAAAGGATACCGTTTTGTTTGTGCTTTGCTGGTTGATAAATCATTGAGGGGTGCGTTTCTGAAAACCATCGTTAGCCTACTAAAGTTGCAAGTTTGGTTGTTACAAACATAGTTTGTTGATCTGCTGTTTCCCAAACTTATCGTTCCAACAAACATTTGCAAGCTTTGCGCAAACTTGTATGCTTGCAACTACACCTCAGGAGCAGTAGTTAGAAACATAGTTCCTGACTGTGTTCTGTTCCCCCTATGCCTTATTTGTTTTGAACATTCTAACATTTAAACTTGGAATAATAAAAAAAAAAAACAACAACATTAAAGTCATCTCTCTTAGGTGTAATTTGCTTTTAAAGAATTTTTACAGTTCAGTTTTAGCGATCTGTATTTTTTACAGTTGTGCTCCCTTCGCACTGCACTTTTTAAACATGGATGCCATTTTGAACAAAGCCGTGGCGATGACGCAAGCTACAGGTGACCTATTATTTAAAAGCTGGATTTGTGTTACATCTCCAAAGCTTGTGAAAAAAAAAACTTAGCTTACATTAATGCTTTTATTTATAGTGGGTTATTTATTAAGTATCTGTGCTGTATATGACATGAGCCTGTTGGTTTCTGCAGTGGTTTGCAAGTGTCAAATTGTAAAAGTAGACTTTTCAAAAAAAAAAATATATATATAATGATAAATAAATAAACAATATCCTATTATTAATAATAATGATCGTCATCATAATTTAATATTATTATTAAAGTATGATTTTTTTCGTTTTCTGCTAAATAATAAATGTTAAATTTAATTTCTTAATAAATCATCTTATTATTTATTTATATGAATTATATATGATATTAGAATACGTATTAGCTTTTGTAAGGGATTTATTTTTTAGAATAGAAAATGGAATATTCTCAATAATATTTGTAAAGAAAACATTGGCCCTATGGTTGCCATTTATAATAAAAATTTATTTAAGAGCAGTTAAAACAGACCGGTCAGTTTTGACCGGTAACACTAAAGTAAGGGGCGGGATGTGAGCATGACAAGAGGGTTAATTTGGTTTATTAGGGAAGTTAAGGTAATTTGGCAAGTTATTGGACAACAGTGGTTTGATCTGTAGCCAATCGAGAAAATAAAACTGCTTAAGGGGCAATTAATAATGACCCTAAAGTGTATATAAAAAAGTAAAAACTGCTTTTATTTCAGTCAAAATAAAATAAATAATGCTTTCTCCAAAAGAAAAGAAAATATTGAAAAAATATATATATAATGATAAATAAATAAACAATATCCTATTATTAATAATAATGATGAAATTATTATTATGAAATAATGATGAAATAATGAAAATGTCCTTGCTTCATTAAATATCTCTCAAGCAATATTTGAAATATTTCTGTCCTCAACTGTATAACATTGTTCAACAAGACAATTGATCAAAATATCATATCTATAATTAAAATATGGGTTTAAAAAAAAAGGCATAACAAGATCAAAGTACTTGCATGTGATCACAGGTTTACTTCTCAGTTTTAAAAATTTAACTGTGAATAGGAATAAGTGTGATGGCACCAGTCCTCAAGCTGAGATCACAGCAGTGTCATTCTACCCGTGAACAGATCAGCAGTTTTACAGAATTTGCAAAGCAACTTCAGAAAAAAAAAAACACTGCAGACTCACTTTAAAAGTAATTCTGTGAGTGAAATCCTAATGAATACTATGGGTCCTTTTATCCAATCCAAAAAAGCTTTTCATAATGCGCTGCTAAATGGATAAAAAGCCAGCGCCTGCACATCCAAAGAGAATTTAGACTGCTTTCCAAAAAAGCAACCCCTTTGTTCTATTGTGTGTGTGATTAGGCCTCTGTCACATATCCCTTGTGTTACAAGTGAAATATGAATTAAATTATCTCCAAAGAGAGAGAGAGAGAGGGAAAGAGAAAGCGAGAGAGTAATAAGAACACATTTGTGGCATCATTTCAGGGCACGCAGAATGCGATTTGGTCTCCAGACTCACCCGGCCGCGGTGATGCACTGCACGCTTTCAGAATGGACACAGCTGAGGTCAGTGAGGCGAGAGGAGGGGGCCACTAATGCACACTTTGGATTTATTGTTTTAATTAAGTGCTACGGCATTTCATCATAAACTGTTTATGGTCATAAGTCCACCGGTGCAAGCCATTGTGTGAGGAGGAGGGGAGGAGGAAAACAGCTTGTTTTGTTTGAAAACCATTTCGTTCTCCATAGCAGCTGTCAAAGTGTTTCATATCTTTGATACATTAAGTATGTTTTGACATGAATCATAGATGACTAACGCACTTATTGCCACAGGTCAGATGTGGCATTGCATAGCCCACTCCCCCCTTTATCACAATCTTCCAAACCACAAATCCCTTCAAATGACTCCAGGTTGTTGTGTTTATTTGTCGGACTCCTCTGTATGTTGTTCTAGATGACACGCAATGCCGGGGAGGAGATATTGACGGCGGGCTAAATGTGACAGTTGTGTTTGTTGAACGACGTGCAAAGAAATACAAGTTGTTCTCGAGGCTCACGGGCAAATTCACAAAAGAGCTGTGATGGGGTAAAGAAATAGTGCTGATGTATGATTAAATGCTTTCACATTTAGGGATTTCAGAAATATACTGTTTAAGGCAACACAAAATATCCAGACTGAAATTCTACTAAGGATTACTAAGGTTTTTTCTTGGGAATTAGCTTCATGTTTAATTCAATTCAATCCATGTTTATTTCTATAGCACTTTTACAATGTAGATTGCGTCGAAGCAGCTTAACATAGAATTTTAAGTAAATTGAAACTGTATCAGTCCAGTTTTCAGTTTAGGTTCAGTTCAGTGTGGTTTAGTTTCACTGCTGAAAGCCCAACCACTGAAGAGCAAATCCATGTATGTGCAGCTCTACAAGTCCCAAACCAAGCAAGCAATTGGCAACAGTGGCGAGGAACAAACATCACCAATTGATGAAAGTGAAGGAAAAAACCTTGAGAGAAACCAGGCTCAGTTGGGTAAGATCATATCTCCTCTTGCCAAACTTCTTGTACAGAGCTGCAGTCAAGGCGCTAGAGGCTGGAGAACGCTGGATGTCCATTGTTGATAAGCTTCAGGTGTAGGTCACTTTTAGTAGGTCACTGGTGGGTGTTCAGGTTGGCCCATGGGATCAATGCGAAGACGTCTGTCTGAGGTTTTTCAGGAATCAGTCTTATGCTCTCCACTCCTCCATGACAGCATCTGCTCAGAATACGGCCTGGTCCAGGATTAGGGATACCTTGGCGTTATCTCTTCACAGGTCTTGGACCACATCAATGGTGATGTTTACATGACAATGTTTTCAAAATGATTCACGTTTACACATACACACACATATGGCTGAAAATGCAGTATTGACTCTGAGAGAACTGTTAGTTACTAAGACTTTTATTTGAGTATGTTGATGTACTTCCAACTGAATTTTGATTTAGGGGCAGGGCTTTATTTTGACCACTCATTCCCTCATAGTTATCCAACAGTAAGTGGCTGTGGTTAAGAGTTTTGTTCCTGAAACTTTAACAGAAAATGACCACCAATTTTGGAAGCAAATGGTCAGAACTTGATTGAAGATTACCAATTTTTTTCTTCTTTAGTAGATTTACTCACACAGATGAATTGTTCATCTATAGAATATCAATGTGCGCTAGCAAATTAAACATTTGTAATTTTTGATTTTACACAGACGTTATGAAGTATGTCAGGCCATTTGGCACTTTCACTTTGTTAGTAATAAGCATTGGACAATGAACGTTTTCAAGGTTTACCACAGTTTGGAAAAGTCAAGGTTTTAAAATCACAATTTTTTTTTATATCTTTCCTTAGGTATACAGTGCTCAGCATACACAAGTACACCCTCACAAATCTCTCTTTTAAATTCATATTTTTAATAGGAAGCTATATAATATATAGAAAAAATATTAAATACTAATTTAAAAATTTGTAAAAATCAAGAGAAGCAAAAACTTGAACAATTTAGTTGAAATTTTGTTGGCTGTAATTTTTTTGCAATATTTTTTTTCTTGAATTTAATTGTATTATCTTTCAATTTCTAAATATGTTTGTTGAGAAAAATATAATTTTGTTAAAATGGGGTGTACTCAATTAAGCTAATTTTTGTTTTTATTATTACTGTCTTTTTTATTTTAATTAATTAATTAATTAATTAATTTATTTATTTATTTATTTATTTTATTTTATTATTTTTTTTTTTTTACAATTATTTTATTTAATTTTTTTTAGAGCAACAGTATCTCCATCAGAAAAGGACCTTCCACATCAAAAGCTGCTGGTCAGCACATGATTCAGCAAACATTTGAGAAACAAATCATGCTATGCACATCCTATGGGCTATGCACATGAATAGTGCAGTGGCTTTCGCACTTCATATCCAAAGAAAAGAAGGATATCCAAAGATGCCTTTTAAAGTTGTATAGAAGTCTGTATTTTGTAAACTAATAAAGATAGAAGTAGTCAATGATTTATTTGAATTATTTAGCCTGACATTTACTGCTCCAAAATATTTCAAATGTTTTTTAAAATACATTATATTGTGTTCAATAGTTTTGTTTTTTGCCCAGAAGAACATATTTTAGAACAGTATTTCATATTTTAGAACAGTAATCCCAATACCATCATTCCATGAAACCCTGATATTTTTAACTATAGGATTCATACATTATACCTTATGTGTAAGGAATTGACAACGTGGAGCTAGTGTGTATGCGTCTTCACTGTTGGTTGTAAAGTAAATTTTTATTTTATTTTTATTTTGGAGTGTTTAAACTATAAAACATGCTGGGTTCTATTGATTTGTATTGGTGACGCATAAAGGAATTAAGTTAACTTACACTTTAAAAATTATGATCAATAAGTCATAATAGCACACATTTTTAGGTCATTGTAACTTACTAAACTAAGTTAATAATGTTGTAACTTAATTTTATAAGTTACACAAGCTGTTTTAATTCAGTTTAACATAATATAAGTTCAATGGATTCTTAGAGTTAATTTGATTCAACTTAAAAGTTTAGGGCAACTAGGATTTTTTACAGTGTATTAGTTAGGTGTTCCCCCCAAACCCCCAAAATTGTGTAGTTTTAGCACATTTTAAATAAGTAGATCAACAAATTGAAGAACAAACTGAAAATGTAATCTTTTGAGTGTACATAGAGACAATAATGGAGGTGTTTTCTGTCACAAAAACACAGATGTTGCGTAAACGAACAGGGAAAATGCATAGAAGTTTAGCATTTTCAGCGGGCTGAAAACGGACACAATAATGGAGGGGTTTACAGTTCCAAAAAAACACATATGTCATGTAAACAAACAGTAAAAACAAATAAAAAGTGTTTTGTCTGGAAACATTGTCATATAAACACCCTCTCGTTCTCTGTACATTGTGCATTTAAATAGAACAGCATAAGGGTTGCTTTTAGGGCTCGAGTCCTCTTGTCTGAATGTTGTGGGCAAATGCACCGGCACCGCAGAACTTGGTCAAATGGCACATCTGTCTTGTTCTTTGTGATTTCATTAGCTCTAATATCTGCACTTCCTATTACCCCAGCTGCCTCTCATTCAAAGGCACACAGGCTCGCTTCTCTAATGCAGAGTGACACGCGATATACTTTCACTCACACATTACGCGCTAGCCTGGAGCAAGGCCGCCTGCTCCTTTGAAAATGTTGGAATTAGGTTATTTCTATTGAAGTATTAAAGCAATTCTTCAGTTTAAGCTATTATTTCATAACTTTTTTTTCTCTCTCTCTCTGTCCCTGTGTTTTTTTTGCCAGGCTGAGAGTGTGATTGAGAAGGAAACAGAGATTAGGATTCCCATAACTTCCTTATTATCCTTTCTGCCCAAACAGAGCTCTGAGACTGATGTACTGGGTGAGCATGACATGATTAGAAGACAACAATCTGTTTCATTTCTGTAATATCTCAACAACACCAGTCCGAAGGCAAGAGATTCTGTCCTTTTTACAATGCAGTGGAGATGATGGATGCATGGTTTATTCACATTGAAATTCTGGGTTATTTAAAACTAAATTTGGGTTAATTATAAACATGAAAATATGAAGCTGTTGGGTAAAGTTGTGTTTTAAATTTAGTTAATAAATTTAACCTTAGGTTTGGGTTTGTCCATAATTTATGCATATTTAGATTCAAATGACCCAGCATTTTATTTAGTGTTTAAATAAAATTCCATGGTGCTCTGTCTTAACTTATTATTTATTCATTTATTTAGTAATTTGTTTATTTATTTATTTAGTAATTGTTTTTGTAATTTATTTATTTATTTAGTAATTTATTTTGTAATTTATTTATTTATTTATTTAGTAAATTATGTAATTAATTAATTTAGTATTTTTTTAGTCATTTATTTATGTTTGTTCTTATTTTCTATAGCTATTTTTTATTTATATTTTTTATTTTATTTGAACTGTTATTTTTATCATATAATAATTTCTTATTGATAAACTCTTTTTTTAAAGGTCACGGTTGGTCATCTAAGCATTTTACTGCACCATACTGTGCATTTCTGTCTATGTGTCTAATAAAATTTGAATTTTGAATTTGATTAATTTTATGGGTTTTTAGACCCCTGTGAAATCTTCAATATTCTTCTTTGTAGCATGTACTACCATCTAGATCAATATCATAAAGCTATATAGCATGAATCATTCAGTGCAATTGTGTAAACTGTCTATGAGGTGTATATGTCACCTCAAGAAATCTATAAGGTAACATTTCCATTTACCTCAAAGGCAGTTGCTTTACTGCTGTGGACTTTTGAAAGCTATCAGGAAAAAAAGAAAAGAAAACAAGAAGAATGAAACTCACACACACATGATTGTTTTTGTGAATTGTGGGGACGGCCATTAGGGTTTTCATTGTTTTATACTGTAAAAACTGTACAGTATAGTACAAACCTATACCCCTTTAAGAAAGCTTCAGTTCTATTTTCTGAAAAGGAAAAAAAAGGAAATTAATTCTGAATGATTTATAAGCCTTTTGGGAAATGGGGAATGTCCTCATAAGTCACCCTTTCCTTGTAATATTCATGTCATACCCATGTCATTATACATTTTTTTTTGTCCTGATATGTCACAAAAAACGTGCACGCATAATACATGTAGTATATATTCAATCAATTTATTTCGGCTTAGTCCCTTTATTCATCAGGGGTCACCACAGCGAAAAGAACCGCCAACTTATTCAGCATATGTTTTAGGATGTCCTTCCAGCCGCAACCCAGTACTGGGAAACATCCATACACAATATGTTGTATATTTAGATACACAATACATAGTTAATTTTGAATAGATTAGTTGTAAATTAAAATGACTTTAAAGTAAATGCATTTCATATCTAAGATCAGAAGCTGTGGTGAGGATGGACATTTTAAAATTCATGGAGCTTGTTTTTCTCTCAAACTAAAGTATATTATTTTACAATACATGAGATAAATGAATTTCCCAGTGATAGGTTGCAGCCGGAAGGGCATCTGCTGCGTAAAAAACATGTGCTGGATAAGTTGGTGATTCATTCTGCTGTGGCGACCCCAGATTAATTAAGGGACTGAGCCGAAAAGAAAATGAATGAATGAGATAAATGAAGCCATTGTCCCTTTATATTTTGATGATACAAATTAGCAGAATAAATTTTAAACAAAACTGCAATTTGTAAGAGCCTGTACTCAGCAAACAGATCAGTATGGTTGGAATTCAACAGCATTAAAGGTGTAGCATCATTACCATACTCTTCTTATAGATCTTCTTATATATTTTTTACTTTTTATTGAGAGTTTAAGTCCTTAGGTTTACTTGAAATAAAAGGGTCAATGTGATTAAGCAGAAAAAAAAAGTGAATCTTGCCACATCTTTTAACTTCACCACGGTAAACCATATTTCGAAACAGGGCAATTGTAATACATTTAATTCCTACAAGCAGAAGTAAAATAAAATAAAATAGGGGCGTCATGGTTGTTCAGTGGGTAGCACAATCGCCTCACAGCAAAAAGGTGGCTGGTTTGAGCCCCAGCTGGGTCAGTTGGCACTTCTGTGTGAAGTTTGATGTTCTCCCTGTGCTCGTGTGAGTTTTCTCTAGTGCTTCGGGTTCCCTTACAGTCCAAAGACATGCGGTGTAAAAGTGAATTGAAAAAGCTAAATTGGTCGTAGTGTAGTATTGGTCGAGTGTGAATGCAAGAGTGTACGTGTGTATCCCAGTGTTGGGTTGCAGCTGGTAGGGCATCTGCTCCATAAAACATATGCTGGATAAGTTGGTGGTTCATTCCGCCGTTGCAACCCCTGATTAATAAAGAGACTAAGCTGAAAAGAAAATGAACGAATGAAAATAAAATAGAAATCTCTGCATCTGATTGGGCTATTCTGTTATTTATTTTTTATTATTTCATAGATAAAGATCTAGACTCATCAGCTAGTAGTTGCCTGGTCTTCTGCAAAAAATAAATAAATAAATACGTTTTCTGAAACAAAACAAACAAAACTAAACTAAGAAAAAAACTCTCAAGTAACACTATTTATGAAATACTAAAGCAGTAAAATGATTACTTTAAGACATTTATACAGTGACCGAGAGACCTTAACATGCTACAATTACAAAAGCATCAGCAAATTAAGAAAAGATCTTCATCAGTTTGACAGCACACATGCTGCAAAATCCTCCCAACACATACACATTAAAAAACACGCTGCATTTTCCCACAATGTAAACAAATTAACAAAATGTGTCTCCTTTTCTCACAGCGCAAACAATTTACTAAATCGCACTGCATTTTCCCACAACACAAAAACAACGCAACACAGAAGAAATGTTTCAAGTGGACTCAAAAATGTGACAGATGCTGCTGTGCCGTGACTATTTCTCTGTGAAGTTGTAGGTGATCTTTGAAAAGTGAGTTTTTTGTTTGTTTGATTTAACATCCTTATTCCCTTGTCTTTTGTATTCTAAATAGTTGGGTCTGTCATGTTTTTGGGTCCCTTTAAAACAATTTCGTTGTGTTCTGAGCTATTTGAAAGCGTTGTGAGAAAATGCAGCACATTTTATTAATTTGTTTGTGTTGTGTAAAAATGCAGTGAGTTTTTTTTTTTTTTTTTGTGTTTGCATGGTGAAAATTTGTAGCACAAATGCTTTCAAACTAAAGCAGGTCTTTTTTCTTCTTAAATTGCAGCATATTAATCTCTCTCAGCCACTGTAGATTTACATTTTTTCGAGGTATAGTGGGTCAATATCACTAATATTTCAGTGGTCATTGGCCTCAAACACTGTCACAATTACCCCACACTCTGACTTCTTGCATTTAATTTAAAACTGTAGTCTTGTCTTTATTTGTGAAAACATATTATCTGTATTGATTATTGTGCACCTGTATTTGTATCTTGTGTAAAAAGATGGCCTGTATTTCAAGTAATCTGTAAGTTATAAAGATGTAAAGTTTGCTGTATTCAATTTATGTATTAACAGTGGTGGAAATAAATAAAAGCACTATCATCATCTATCTTTATCACCACTTTGATAATAGCATTTAGTGATGCACCATCATACATATTTTTACACTGTAAAACCCAACAGTCAACTTTATCAAATGAAATGAGTGTAGTTAACTCAAAATTGACTTAAAGTTAATTCTACTAAGAGTTTTGAACTTAGTGTTGAAGGTGGTGAGTAAATTCAACACCTCATTACTTCAACTTAAATGGAGTAAGTTCATAGTACTCATATAGATTGATGCAACTCAAATGGTTTGTTGCAATCGGTTTCCTCAAATGGTTTGAGTTGCCTTAACTTATTGGGTTTTACAGTGCTCAGTTGGTTTGAGTTCTCTTCATTTATTGGGTTTTACTGTGCTCAAATTGCTTCATTTACTCAAATGGATTAAGTTCACAGTACTTATTAAGATTAGTATTTTAACTTAAACGGTTTGTTGCAATCGGTTTCCTCAAACGGTTTGAGTTACCTTACTGTTTTGAGTTTTACAGTGTAATGGCAACCCCAGTGATATTTGCTGATATTTAAATGACTGTTTTTTTTAGATGTAGAGTTCAGATCTACCTGTGAAGAAATGACAGAAGTTGTGACATGCTGAAGTTGTGAATAATGTCAATCTGTAAAATGATGTGTGAATCTGTTATTTGTGTACATGTATGTGTGTAATGGATGTTTCTGTTTTGATTTAAGAGCATTATTTTGATAGGTCCCCTGAGGAGCCAGCGATCCGAACTCTGTCTCATGGTATCAGTCACTCTATCTTGACTGACACAAGCAGCGCATCATTCAACCGCTGTTCACATCATGTTCAAAACTAAGACAACAGTAGTAAGTGTCTCCCCTTCTGTCACCCTGCCACCATCATCACATCTCCACAAATCCACACTGGCATTTCCTTCTCGCTGAAGGCTCTTCTCACTGCCACTCACAGCCGCCATTCATTCTACCTCAATCCCTTACATTCAACTGAGAGCGAGCGAGAGAGTGAGAGAGAGAATTTTGAATAAAAATAAAAACTTATTAACAATCATTAAAAGTTTATTAACAACAAAGAGTTTAAATACAAAATAAAAACAAAAAAAGTGCTTTTATATAAATCTGAACATAAAAATAGGATTCTGAGAAAATCTTTTGAAAGAACATTTCAGCTGGCATTTTTGTTTATGAAATGAATTGAAGAGTTCAGAACAATACATTAAACTAAAGGGTGCAGTGGGTAGCATGATCGGCTCACAGCAAGAAGGTCACTGGTTTGAGCCTCTGCTGGGTCAGATGGCATTTTTGTATGGAGTTTGCATGTTCTCCCCGTGTTCGCGTGGGTTTCCTCCGGGTGCTCCGGTTTTCCCCACAAGTCCAAAGACATGTGGTATATGTCAATTGGGAAAGCTAAATTGTCCGTAGTGTATGAGTGCGTATGGATGTTTTGCTGTACTGGGTTGCAGCTGGAAGGGCATCTGCTGAGTAAAATATATGCTGGCAAGGTGGCAGTTCATTCTGTTGTTGTGACCCCAGACTAATAAAGAGACTAAGCTGAATAGAAAATGAATGAACATTAACCTATTAAAAAAAAAAAAAAAAAACATAAAGACAACACTAAATTTCCATCAAAAATTCAAGTCATTAGATCTTCCATGGTATTATAAAATGTAAATAAATCAACACTATATTGATTTTATTTATGCTAGAAAAAAAATCTGCAATTAATTGAAAGGACTTTTTTTTTCCAACTCTATTTTTTATAAAGTAAAATATTTTTTTCTAAAGTATAAAATTATCTTATGTTGTTTTTATACTAAAGTAAAGTTTAGCTTAAGGAATTCAAAATTTTATTTTTTAAAATATTTTTGTCGATTTCAATTCAGATATTGATACTTTAAAGTACTTTCATGGTCAAGAAAATACACTGAAACAGATTGTAGATGGACATAACATTATCACATCACATTATATATACAAATTTGAATTTTATTATATATATATATATATATATATATATATATATATATATATATATATATATATATATATATATATATATATATATATATATATATATAAAATATATATATATATATATATATATATATATATATATATATAAAAAAAAATATATATATATATATATATATATATATATATATATATTCATTTTCTTGTCGCGTAGTCCCTTTATTAATCTGGAGTCACCACAGCGGAATGAACCATCAACTTATCCAGCAAGATTTTTTTATGCAGCGGATGCCCTTCCAGCCACAACAAATCTCTGGAAAACATCCACAAACAAATTTACACACTACGGACAATTTAGATTAGATTAGATTAGATTACATTCAACTTTATTGTCATTACACATGTACAAGTACAATGCAACGAAATGCAGTTTAGGTCTAACCAGCAGTGCAATAGCAGCAAGTGCAGGATACAGGAATAAGTTATAAAGTGCAGTTATAGAAAAATATGGTGATATTTACAGATGGATGTACTATGAACATTATATACAGGTTGGATAAGCTATGAACAGATTTACAATATATGAATATATGTGCAGGTTGCTATTAATAATCAGTAGTGTGCAGATAGATAAACATGATTACAAGTGTATATGTTAAAATATATGAATATATGTACAGGGATAGATAAACATGATTACAAGTGTATATGTTACAATATATATATATGTGTACATTAATTTAGCCTACCCAATTCACCTGTACCACATGCCAGCATATGATTTACAGCTGTATCCTAACACAGAGAAAAAGTATCTGTATTTATTCATTCATTTATTTTAGGCTTAGTCGGCAACCCATCACTGGGTAAAGCCCTTACACACCATCTGTATTTATTACTTAGTACAAAATATATATATATATAAATATACAAGTCACTAATTATTATATATATATATATTTTTTTATTTTTTCTCATCAAAAATGCACAAAAACATTATATGGCATTTTGTTTGTAAATTATTGAATATACAGAATACTTTAGATATATTTCAAAATATTTAAAAGTTGCCAAAATGCTATATATTAAAATGTTTACATGAACACATTTTTTTTAATTAAATTTTCATATCATTTTAATTATTTTGATACTTCTTTTGAAAATATTCATTTTAAAATAAGATTTCCATAGTTATTTAAACATCTGTGAGAAACTATTAGACCTCACTACACTGGCTAAACTGTAAGTCCAAAAGTGTCCAGTGGGTGGCGATACAGGTCCACGAGTATACAGCTAAATCTCCCGCTCTGTCCGGCCATGACAAGCCTAGATGGGAATTCATTTATCTCCTCTTTGGTCCAAACACAAGAACACCTCTGTATTTAGCTGTGTGTTACTGGCACAATAACACATAGTATTTGTGTGCCACGAGAGGTCAAAAGAAGACAAAGCTGTATTGTTTTCTCTCTTTTTTTTTTTGTCGTAGTTTTCTTATTTTCTGTTTTTCCCCTGGTAAATTGATGTGATCCATCTGACCATGTGACTCCTGGATCGCACTCCCCGTGTGGCCACTGAGGGCTACAATTGCATTGTGGGTCTTTAGGCAATAAGGGACAATGTATGTCTTCCATTTTGCCTAGGAGAACAAACAAAACGTCAAAGCAAACCCCCTCCCTTTCTCATTTTTCCTCTCCCATACCTGCACTTTAAAATATGTCCTAGTCAGTTGAGGAAATGTCGCTTTGCGTCCCGGTCTTGGTTGAGAAAACATTTTCAGCTCGCCGCTGGTCCCTCAGACTCCATTATTCAGTCCCCCTGTAAGATTTCCTTTCCTATAGCAGCTATAACAAGTGTGTTTGGATTGCCTCTACTCGGCTTTCATGCTCTGTCTTTTACAGGATGGAGGATATGGCTGGGCTGCGGTTCAGAAGCTTGTATGTGTTGGTTGTGTAAGTACACACACACACACACACACACACACATATTGCAAATATGTCTGAATGCTGTAGTCCACACTAGAAGTCCATTACTTGTTACAAATGAAATAGCCTATTCTGAAAATTGTTGGCCTGTAAGTAACAATCTACATTAAATATTTTAGGTAATGTAATTTGTAATTCTTTTTAATTGCTTTACACTTACTTTTGACCTAGGCTACCTTTTTTTAGCTATCAAATTGATTTAGTTGATTTAACAATATTTTAAATTTAATTTTAGTGATGGAGACAGATTAATCATGATAAATTGCATCCAAATTAAAAATGTTTTATACAGTATGTGTGTGTGTGGGCACGGTGGCTGAGCGGTTTTCCTCTGGGTGCCCCAGTTTCTCACGCAGTCTAAAGACATGCGCTATAGGTGAAATGGGTAAACAAAATTGGCCGTAGTGTACGAGAGTGTGTGTGTGTGTGAAAATGTGAGAGTGTATGGGTGTTTCCCAGTACTGGGTTGCGACTGGAAGGACATCCGCGTATGTGCCGGAATAGTAGGCGGTTCATGACCACTGATAAATAAGGGACAAAACCGAAGAAAATGAATGTGAATGTGTGTCATGTATATTTGTTATAATAACAAGACAACATAATGCAATATATATATATATATATAATTAAAAAAGACAAAAATTCACTGCATTTGTTTTTAATCAACAAGGTTTTTCCCCCAAAATTGGGGTGTTTATCGAGTAACTGCAGGGCATTTGTATGTTAATGATTAAATCACAATAAAATACTTGAACAAATAAACAAATATTAAATTAAAGTTCCAGGGATTAAGTTTGTACATGAACGAACATTAAGAAACATTCATTCATTCATTTTATTTTATTTTGGATTAGTCCTTTATTTATCAGGAGTCACCACAGCAGAATGAACTGCCAACCATTTCAGCATTATGCCAGGATCTTCAAACCAGCCACCTTCTTGCTGTGAGGTGACAGTGCTAACCATTGAGCCACCATGCTGCCCATTAAGAAACATTAAAATGTCATTTCATGTCAAATTTAAGATTTTTGAAAATTATTATTACGATTATTTGATACATTTTTTTTTAATATCTGTGAATGCCACTATGATCAGGACATAGTATAAATTAAAGTATGTAGCTCCGTAATCAGTAAAACCATACAGAAATCTAATAATGAGTGAAGTAGTTCACACAGACTTACAAATACAGGTACTTCATTTCTGGAACCTGATCTCATAACCCAGGTTACACTTAATCAGTTACTACCCAGCAACACTTTACAAAATGTTCTCATTTAGAAGTTAGTAAGTTAGCATTAACAGTAACAGTTAGCAATATATAAATGTAAAAAAGTTGTTATAAATAAATAAATGAATGAATAAATGAATGAATGAATGAATGAATAAAAGAAAGCCATTCTTCACATGGCAAAAAAGAAAAAAAAAGTAAGAATAAATTCTTTACTTTTTATGCATCCATTTCCAGCCTAAGAGCTTAATTCATATACCTACATAACCATGTTACACTTTGATTTGATTGTTCAGGCATAAAATGCCATACATTTCTTTAGGTGGTGAAATTAATTACTTATTGATTGTTGCTGTGTTGGGTGAAATGAAATAAAGGAATGAATGAAGGAATAAATAGCGCTGAGTCTCTGCACAGGTGTCTGTAATAATACTTGCGTTCGTGGCATTATGCTTAGCACTTTCTATTCCTCAGCAGTCATTAATATGGAGCTTAAGGGAGTGTGTAGCCAGCGGGTTTGCTGGCTGACCCAAGCCTGGGTTCAACCGAAAGCGTGTTAGTGACAAATTGTAACCATATGCCATACAGCCACAGGGCTCTGGCCACAGTTGGCCTCTAATGGCTGATCTTGGACCAGTTTTTGGTGTTGGGCCTCCTGTAATCTTAATCAATATGGGGGAAAGGCACTTAAACCGACTAGGGATCTGCTGACATGAACACAAAACGCTCATTTGGGGGGTTTTTAGACCCCCAAAGGTCTTGGGTTTTTAGTGGAAGGATGTTTAAAAACACTTTGAATACTTCTGTATCTACATTTTATACTTTAAATTTACCAACAGATGTGACAGATCTGAATCTAAATGAACTCAATTAAGTCTCACTTTAACATGCAAATGTTCGGAAATAAGGCTTTTCCTCTGTAATTAATGCAGGTGTGTAATGGCGACTGTGACCGGGACAATGCTGTTGAAAGTTGTGCGCTAATTGAACATTTCTTGTGAATCTCCTTAAATACATATCATTAACACATCAAAACAAGTCTGGCCAGCTAATAAACATTTATTTATAGCAAATTATGACCTAATGTATCAAACTAACAACATGCAGCAGGCAGGATTTATAGGCAGCGTTCCCGACATTTATTACGTTTACTTAAGCTCAGCTCTTTTTTTGTACAAACTTGATCTTTTTTATAGATTACACTTTATGATAAAATATGTTACGTTAACAACATTCTGTGTGTTTTTGTTTTTGTGATTTATGCTCTCTATAAAATGTGTTTATTAGACTGGTGGATGTAATTAAACGGTGGAGTTTTAAGTGCAATATTCACCTAATGTAACGAAATAATGTGCGAAGATATGGGCTTGTAAAACGGGAATTATGACACAAGTCAAGGTGTCAGTGTTTTCGGTGTGATAAATCCGTCGGTTAAATAAACGCCTGGACATCCAAAACGACACCCTTTGTACTCCATAACAGATATGAAGCCATTAGACGCACTTGTGTTGTTTATTATCAACATCACTGAGATATGAAGAATTTAGAACGTGGCTTAAAAATGCTAATGTTCTGTTGAGAGCTTTGTAAACCAACAAGTTTGGGGATGTTTGTTGTTTGAATAGTCTATTAAAGGGATAGTTCATGCAAAACATGAACATTCTGTTACTTATGAACCCTTTGTTGCAAACCTTATTGAATCTTTTTTCTGTTGAACACAAAGAAGATACGTTGTAGAAAGCTGGAATCTTGTTGTATTTGTTTTTCCTACTATGGGAGTCTTACTGTTTTCTTACTGATGTTATTTTAAATATCACATTATGATATTTAAATAATTCAACAGTAGAAATAACTCATTATGGTTTGAAACAATTTGAGTGTGAAATAGTAAATAGTGATTTTAAATTTTGATTTTGAGCGAACTATAATTTTTTGCTAAACATTGCTTAATTTAAAAATAATATAATTGTTACAATGTGAAGCTTTATGAGGCTCAATTTGGAAACGTACCCCAGTCAACATTTTTAGAGGCCGGGAAATTTGTACCCAAAGCTTTGTCTGCTTGCAGTTTTTGTTTTCACACATCCACCAGAGGCTGCTGTGCACACTTTTTGACGATCTCAAGTTTCTTTTGAATGTGCCATTTGCGAATCTTCTTCTAGCATAAATCCACCAGAGGCCGCAATATGCATTTCAGCCGACCACATTGCTGATGACTGACCAACTGCCTCCTTCCCTAAACCCAACCAATAGTGTTTTCAAAAGAAATCTACAAAAGATAAACGGCCGTGACCACGTGATTTTACCATGCTTTCAGGTTTTACTATATGTTTTCAGCCTGTTATTTATTTGTTTCTTTATTTGCTTTTGTTTTACCTGGTTTCTGGAACCATTCTTTGCCAAATTCAAACCACATCATCACGGTCCACTCCACTCTACATCCCAAGTCCATTGGCGTATGTGGCAAGCTACTGGCCGAACACCGAAAAAGCTGTCCATATAGTGGTAAGCGGTCAGCGGTAGCACAAAAAGGAACAGAAGCTGTCGGTGGCATCATACCATCTTATAGCTTTTGGTTTACTGAAGAAATGCAGCCAGCCGTACCCCTGGGTACATATTTCACGCTCTCTAGAAATGTAGACTTGATCCACAATGAAGCTGCGGTCACACTAGACCAGCGGTCCTCAACCCCTTTATCACTGCGGACAATTTTACCTTAAACCAGGGGGCTGGAGGGTGGGGAGGGATTTGCTAGGTGACCATCAACCGTTTTCTTAGAGGAAGACAAGCTGACAAAACATTGCTGTCACTCTGATACAGGATTTACACCATTATACCATTTATACCATTACCACTTTTACCATTAGTTTGCTTCAATGGAATGTTGTGCAACAAGAAAGCCCCGCCCCCTTCTCAATCTTCCATTCCAGTTTGAAGTACATCAACATACAGAAATCAAACATTTGGCTGACATGAATTATACATATGTGAACACACACATACACACAATCACCAGCTCCTTCATAAGATACATCTGTTCAACTACTCATTAATGCAAATATTCAGTCAGCCAATCAAATGGCAGCAGCTCAACGTTATTAGCCAAATAGACTGATCAAGATGACTTTCTGAAGTTTAAAATAAGATTTATTATATATTTATTTGATTTTAGTTTGTTGGTGCTAGATACACACACACACACACACACACACACACACACATTTACAAGGCAACTAAACTAATAAATACTCATTACTAGTATAAGGTCTGTATAGAGTAAAAACTGTATTCAGTACCATTTCCCAGCATACAGCAGATGTGTCACAGCCTCTTGTATAGTGTCTGCTCCTCAAATGAATCTTGTAGAGTCCTGCTGCTTTATTCACTTTAAACAGGCTCTGCTGTTTTGGGTAAAAGAGCACAGCGTGTCTCAGGGCCCACACAAACAGATGTTTACTCTGTAAAATCTCAAAGCCAATCCTGCGGGTTGTCAAGGCCAGATATATTTATGGACAAGGGCGGCACGCAATCTCGAAGCCTTTGTCCACAAGTGAAGAAAATATGGTTTCAGTTGGTGCTTTCTGGCACCTACCGAAAGTAATGATTGATTATAGGCAGCGAGAGCCCTCTGTACTAATTTCATCATCGCTGACAAAATAAATAAATAAGAGAAAAAAGGGGCCACATAAAATGTTGTTTTCCAGTGTCTATCTTGTTGGGTTATTTTCTCGATTTCTTTATTTTGTGAGAGTGTCAGGGAAAATTAATGTAATTAACTCACCCTGAGGCAGAGTGTTGCACTTGAAGTTTGTCACCCTGAAATTCTGTTATCTGGGAATGAAGGAGAAAAACACAA